GGCCTGGGGCCCCCCCCCCCCCCCCCCCCCTCTTATCTCCTTGGGTCTTGCTGCTAGCCTGGAAGCAAGCTTAGCGCCCCCACTGCCACTGTTCCTGGCCAAGCCTGGCTTAGGAGCATTTACCCTGCCCATGGGTTAACCAGGGGCAGTGGGGGAGGCGGGAGTGGGTGGGAAGAGGATGTGGTGCTGAGCAGGATTGCTGGTGGAAGCCAGCAGAGGCTGGGAGCAGGGAGTGTTGCCACCTGTGCAGCCCCAGTCATCGCTCCTGCACCTCTGTTGGGGAAACCCTGGATCCACCTGTGAGATGGACACACGATTGCAGCGGATCTCCAGCAAAGGCTCTCGGGTGAGGATTCCTCAAGCCTGCAGTCAGATTCCTAATGGCTTTGGTGAGGTGGCAGCTGTGTCCAGCCTTTCTCCTGGCTTGGACAGCTTCCCATGCAGCATGCTGCGTTCAAGGATCCCATTTTAGGGTGTCTCCTTTACCTCGTGCATCGTATTGGGAGTCTGCCCGCCAAACTTGGAGGATATGAATTGACTGAGTGACAAGGCGCTTAAGTGTCTTTGTGGATTTATGGGGCTCTGCTTTCTCACTGGTCTTTGGTGCCATAGAAATACAGAAATGGAGATTTTCTGAGACACCTCCCCTCTACTTGCATGTTTATAAAATTGCCTTCAGAAGAGCAAAGATAATCATTTTTTTTAAATTACATTTTAAACCATACATGGAAAATAGTGATTATCCTCAGGATGGTGTAACTTACATATCTTATGCTGCTGGCCCCATTGAACTCCTTTTCACAGCAAGGAAAAATTCTGACAAATCGGGAAAACTTTAGGCTTGCTGTGCCTGTCTTTTTCACTGCTATTGCTTCTTAATAGCTTATATGATGGCATTCAAAATTCATCTTCACCTTCCAATATTGGTTTTCCTTCCTTTTATGCACCCTAGCACAGCATTAGTATGGTGCCTAGCTACTGCTTTATATCTACATTTTAAACCTACTCACACTCCACTGCCACCCCTTCATAATCATTTCTAGTTTACTACATTACATCTTTTTTCCTGTTAGCATGCGCTGGATTCATATTCTTTTACCTTTTTTCTTATATCTCATTATCAACTTTCAGCTGAGCTGGCCCACCTCATAATGACTCGCCATTGTGGTCTTAAAATATTAATGATTTTATCTACCACCTGATTAAATACTGTTGCCCCTAATTCTATATCTACTGTGTCTTCTAATGAAATAAATATTTGCATGTAAGAAATTATGTGTAAGGATACAGTAATTGCATTCCCTTTAATGTTGCCTATCACCAGGTACCATTATTTAAATATCAGAGTACTTTAGCAGCCTCAAAAAGCACAGTATAATATTGAAATATTAATAGTAGAGAGACACAAATATTTGACAGTTTTATCTTAAGCCTTTTAAATTTATTTTTTTACTTTCCCCTAGTCTCCCTAGCATTTAGTTTATTTACCCAGATTTTATGCTTTCTTGTTGCTGGACCAAGTCAAAACCCCAAATTTATCTTTTTTTTGAATTTACAAAATACTTGCAGGATGCTGTACCTGTAAACTACGGACTCCCCTGCCTTTGTTTGCCAGCAAGTGCTGGAACACATCTGAAGTGTGCAAAGTCATTATAATGAATTTGACTTTTAGGTCCTGGCACTTCTCTTGGAGTCAGTGAACTCTGGTTTTATATGAGTTTGTCATCTCATTGAACTTACATGAACTTACCTATTGCAGTTTTTCTTAGTTTCAACATTAATACTTAAACTTTTGGATGCCTGTGGTCTGGTTTTGGTAACTTAATGACTTCTTAAGCCTTTTCTAGCCTCTCAAGTGATGCTAAATAAAACTTTTGCTATTTTCGCTTGGAAATAAAAACTGTAAAGGTTTCACTATTGATTTTTTTTTAATTGTGTTTCTACTTTTGGTGTTCCTTAAAATTGTTCTTGAATAGTTTCTTGCCTTGCATATTGGTAGAGATTGGAAATGGGGAATGCATTAAAGCGCATTGAATGATTTTATTTAGAAATAACATGCCAAAGGTTGTATGTGTTTTTGCAAATAGATAAGGAAGAAAAGTGGGATTCTAGGTAATGCATACTACTACTCTCTCATTGCTGTCTTTGAACAACTTTGTTTTGTATTCAGATCTCTTTATAAGTACATCCCTGTTTTTCTTTAAATAACACCACTTTTCAATAGATCTTGTGAAAAATAGTTTCCTTTCAATTACTTCTCATGGATGATAACACTCATCATTTCTTTTGTCTGCCTCTGTTCACCATTTCTGACCACTGAATGTGCCTTCATAAAGGTTCCATTTGGGTAACAATCCAATCAGTCCCACCTGTTTCTGGCATATAAAATGTATTTTCAAAGCGCATAGATAGAGAGGGAGCCAGATTAGAGTCCCTGAAATCATGCAGCTACGCTCTAAGAATTTTTAGTTGTACACCTTACTGAAAATTTACTGTTGTGACTTCTACTATTCTTGCTCAAGTTTAAAACTAATATGATCTCATAGACTGACCAGCCACCTAAGACATCCATCTCTCTGCCACTTTCAAGCAGTTTCTTTCCTTAAAATACCCCCCACCTCTCCCCCATTATTATTGTTCTTCATTTGTGTGTGTGTGTGTGCACGTGTGTGGTGTTAGTCCTTCCAATTCAAAGATGACCATGACATGGCTGGTTGATTTGGTTTCTGCGAACACGTGAGAGGCTGATCAGGCTAATTTGTGCAATATGGCACACTGAGCAAGAGATGACACTTTGAGTTGCTTGATCAACAGCAGACGTGCCGTTGCAAGATTTATGCTGTTTGCACTTCTGCTCTGCCTCAGCAGTTCTTCTCCGCTCACAGACGGTAGCTCCAGTATGGATGAGGTTTTGCAGGTGGAACGATCATGAGCAAGAGCTTCCCAAGACTTTGGCTCAATGTTGCAATGTTTCAAGGATGACTTCAGGGAGTCCTTGAAGTGTTTCTTCCAGCCTCCCTGAGGGCGCTTTCCCTCCTTTAGCTCACTATAGAAGATTTTCTTTGGCAATCTCTCATCTGACATCCTGGTGACATGGCCTGCCCATCTCATCTGTGATTTCATCAACAATGTGGATGCTTGGAATGGTTTCCCATGTAAGGACCTCAGTGCCTGGGGTTCTTGCCATCTTATCCTTATCAGTTTCCTCAGACAGCCCATGTGAAAGTGGTTCAAGTTCATAGCATGGCATCTGTACACCATCCAGGGTTCGCATGCATGCACCAGGGTTGGCAACATAATGGCATTGTAGACTTTAATTTTTGTTGGTTGGGTGATGCCTCTGTGCTCTCGCGCATTTGCATGTAGTCTGCAAAAGGCCACGCTTGCTTTAGCAATTCTGGCATTGGTTTCATCATCGATGTGAACTTCATGCAACTGTGTACTGCTGAGACAGGTGAACTTGTCCACTCCGTGGAGGGTTTGGCCATTCACTGCGATGGTAGGCTCTACATAAGGCTTTCCTGGTCCATCACTTCTGCTTTCTTAGTGTTGATTGTGAGACCAAAGTTGTCACAAGCTGAAGAGAAATGGTCCGTACTCCTTTGCATGTCAGACAGATTTGGCATTCAGGGAATAGTCATCAGCAAACAGAAAATCACATACAGTCACTTCCTGTAACTTCATCTTAGCCTCAAATTGAAGAGTTTGCCATCAGTCTGGTGGTAACTGAAGTCCCAGTGTCACAGCCATGAAAGGCATCTGTAAGCATGGCAGAGAACATCATGCTGAAGAGGGTTGGGGCCAATGCACAGCCCTCCTTGACTTCCTTGGTGCCTGGGAATGGTTCAGATGACTCACCGACATCCACCATGCAAACGAGCATGCCATCATGGAATTGCCAGACCATTGCGACGAATTTTTCTGGGCAACCGGATTTTGTCATGATCTTCCAAAGGGCCTCCTGACTGATGGAACCAAGTGCTTTTGTCAGGTCAGTGAAAGTCATGTACAGGTTGGAGTTCTGTTCCTGCCATTTCTCCTGAAGTTGACAAGCTGCAAACACCATATCTATGTGTACTCACACACAATCAAGCCCCGTCTCTCTGCCACTTTCAAGCAGTTTATTTCCTTAAAAATTCTCCCCATGACAACTGCTCTATGCATAACTGCACAGAAACATGCACACACACATATTTCTGTTTGCATCTCCTTAACCTGCAGAACTACTTCCTGAATAGCCTCTCTTCATATTGCTTGCCTATTCAGCTTTTCCTGGATTTTTTTTTAACCACTATCAGCTACCTCCAACCAGTGTGTGTCTTCTTCTGCAGACGGTGCGTGATGTATATGTTTGTGTGTAGTACTTCCCTTCCATCCTCCTAATCCTTTGGGTTGTATTTTGGTACACAGGTCAAAAGGATTGTAATTTAATATTTCAAGGTGTGGAGTAATAAATCTCAGGAGTTTACAGCGATAATATTGACCAAAATGCCTCACAAAGCTCACTGCCATGCTTAACGTAGTTTTTCTAGGTTAGTTACTCAATTGTGCATTCAAATCATGCAGTCCATATGCTGGAATATTCATTGGTATTAACGTGGGCCTGCGCATGTCACCAAGCAGCATTCCTAATGTATTCGATGGGCTGACTCATTAGTTCCCATGTTTTGTTTTGTTTTGTTTAGTTTTGTTTTTTATTGTTCATGAGCAATGTCTTAAGTGAAAGTACAAAACTTCAAGCACAGCTCTTATGTAGTAGTTTTCACCCGGAGATCCCCAAGTGCTTTATGGACATCAGTGTCACTTTCTCCATTGGACAGCTAGGAAATCTGAAGCAATGAAATGGTGCAGCAGGCCTACTGAGTCACCTTTGGTAAGTGGCAGAGCCCAGTAAAGCATTCAGGTTTCCTGAGCACTGGCC